AGATGTCCACGTGTTGTTCATTATTAACGAAGACTTAGTTGAAAGCTTTTCTTAAGTGCAAAGGAAGAGAAGGAAGCCAAGAAACTCAAAGAGGAAGTGGCAGGCATGAAAAACAGAGAATGGAGTGCCAACCCACAAGTGAGTGGTGTTACTAAAGAAAAGCCTAGGGCTGGAGGCTTGGCTCAAGTAGTAGAGTGCCTGTCTTCAAGTGCAAAGCCCTGAGTTCAAACCCAAATACTACAAACAAAAAAAAGAAAAGTATAGAACAAGTAGATCAGAAATCATAACCAGAGACTTAATAGAAGAAAACTTAGCTGCACTAAATGTCTTAATTTGCAATAAGAAGTTGAATGGGTGTGGTCTACAGATCAGCGACAGGAAACATAGCTGTGTATTTCCTACCAAAAATTGTTCTAAAAAGACTGGAAAAAATCTTGCAAAGTAGCCAGGTGAAAAGCAGGTTATTGCTAAAGGAATAAAAGGCTAGATTCAGATATCTCTGCTGTGACATTAGCGTAAGACAATGAAATCATCTACACATATTTCAAGGAAAAATTTAGACAGTGAACTTTAGACTCAGCCAAGATGGCTTTCATTTTGATGGCAAAAGATAGACATTTTTAGACATAAGGGTTCAGAAAACATGCTTTCCTAAAACATTTTTTAAAGAACAATTATCCAACAAGTATTTATTGAGCACGAATCGTGTATCAGCAACATTCTAGGCCCTTGAGATAAACAGACGAGCAGATGGGGAGTATTTCTGCTCTCGTAAGCTTGCAGCCCAGCCAAAACAGAGAGAGCTGGGGGTAACTAAGGGATAAAGCGTGTGCCCCGCATGCAGAAGACTCTGGGTCAATAGCCATCACACACATACACAAACATATAAAATTATATCTATATCTATATAGATATAGATATAATTTAAACGCATTGTAAAACTAAAAGCAAATACCAAAAATTATTTCTGAGCATAAAATATGATCCTATAGCCGGACACCAGTGGCTCATGCCTGTGAGGCAGAGATTAGGAGGTTTGCAATTCGAAGCCAGCCCTGGCAAAGAGTTCCATGAGACCCAATCTCGAAAAAAACCTTCACAAAAATATGGCTGGTGGAGTGGCTCAAGGTGAAGGCCTGAGTTCAAACCCCAGTACCACAAAAAAATATAAATATATGTATATATGATCATATAATAATCACAATCAGGAACCACATGTTATTCGGAAGGGAGAAGAATTGGTTAAGGCAGAGATGTGGAGAAAGGATAAAGGCACATCTAAAACAAAAAGATGCTAGTTAGATTTCTACAGAAGCAGACGTTAGTATTTTTTATTTTGAACATAACCACTTAGGAGAATTTTAAAGAACTTAAATACAATGAGAACACAAACTTCTGTAACAAAACCAGAAAGCAAAGGACGTGCCAAGACACATCAAAAAGAAGAAAATGAGATAGAAGGCCTAGATTATTTATAACAGTCAATAAAAATTGCTTTAACTATCCCAGTGCAAGCACAGAGACTTCTAAAAACATGTAAAATGAAGGAAAGCAAAGGCCAAAGTTAAGAACACACACAGGTCATTCCGTCAAACAAACTGAAAAGTAAAAGGCATGTTTTTATCTCTCTGCAAGACAGAAGAACTCAAGGAAAACACAAAAAGTGAGGAGGGAAAAAGACTCACTAGATATAGACGAAGGATATAGCACAGAATGAAGAGAAACCATTATGGATCTGATGAGCCAAAAAAAAAAGATGATGTTAACATGGAGAAACTGACAAATAGTTCAAGGTGATTTTTAATCCATCTCAGACTTTACCAAGCCTAGTGGAGAGTGCAGTGTACCAGAAAAACAGTAGTGAAAGGTAGTTAATTTTTTCAAATAACCATTTGAAAATTTTACAGCACACTCTCCAGTGACCACTGCCTCAATAGTTATTTAAGCAGGCACAGTGGTACACATCTATAGTCCCAGCACTCGGGAGACTGAGGCAGGAGGATCATTTGAGCCCAGGAACTCAAGGCTGGCCTAGGTAACATAGGAAGACCCCCATCTCCAAAAAAAAAATGTTATTTAATTGCACATTACATAAGAGTGAGACCACTGTGCCTCAAAATGTATGGCTATGGGAAAGGAACACTCTTACCACTTTGGAGTTGGTTCTGAGTTTTAAAGTTGCTTTTGTTATGGCTTGAGGGGAAAATGTGCCAAGTTAACTGAGCATGGATCCGAGTTGGAAAAGGAAAAGGAGTGTGTCTGTAGTGAGTTCCCTGAGAGAACAGTGCTTACTGCTAGACACAGAGGGCCTCGCCCAGAGGGACTGCCTCCAGCGGTCAGCAGCGGGTCCCCATGACAGGCAGAAAGGCTGATCAGAGGATGTGTGCTCTTGCCTCGCTCTCTGCTTCAGGTAAGGAACATGTGTGTCACCAACCTCGGACCACCACCTCTGGTAAGACAGCCCACCTGGCTCTTCTGTAGGCCCAGGGGTGGTAACCGCTCTCTACCACCTCCGGGATCCTGCACTGTCCCTTGTCACTCCCAGCAGCCAGGCAGTAGTCCCCATATCAGTAAACCTTTTTGGAGTAAAAGTATATCCCACCCGCCATCTGCCTCCTTCTGGACCTTGATTGGTAGATACCCAATGCTAAGTTTTTTCAGGAAAACGTAGAAGACTTTGATTCCAGAAAAATTAAAATATGCCAGTAAACCATGAAAATAAGAAATTCTTACATGTAACTTAGACCATGTCAAATGCAGGCTTTATTGTGGGCAAGGGCTGCAGCTCAGAGGCAGAGCACTTGCCCAGCGTGCATCAGGCCCTAGGCTCCATCCGCAGCACCCAAAACTGTTTTCTCATCTTTTTCTCTCAAGTTCAGTGACTATCTACTTTTTAAAATCCCTCCAAGGATTAAAAAGATTTAAGTGTTCTCAGTTCTACTAAGTTAACATAAGATCATATTCAAACTTGATTAAAAAATGCTCAGAAAACAAAAGTGTAAACCAAATTTAGTTATCAAACGAGATGCAAAAATCTTAGCAAATTAAATCAAACATTATACTATATACTAATTATATAATATTTATATAGTATATAAAATACCTATTCTTTATAAAATAATATTTAATATATATCAGGTAGAGTAGAAGAACCAAAAAGACTCTGCTTTACAATGTCAAAAATAGATCAACAATGGAAAATCATTTTTATTAATTTGGTTGGCTTATGGCAAAAAAATAAAATTAAATTTTTTTTTTTTTTTTTTTTGCGTACTGGGGCTTGAACTCAGGAACTTCACCTTGAGCCACTCCACCAGCTCTTTTTTTGAGAAGGTTTTTTCGAGATAGGGTCTCATGAACTGTTTGCCTGGGCTGGCTTCGAACCTGCAATCATCCTGATCTCTGCCTCCTGAGTAGCTAGGATTACAGGTGTGAGCCACTGGCTCCTGACATAAAGTTAAATCTTAAACTTCATAATAATCTAGCACTAGAAAGGTATTTCCTAAACTCAGAATAGAGAATTTATCTGAAACTAACATCTGTAAGTATATTTATAGTGAAATATTACAGACAATTCAATTAAAATTACCAATAAGATGATTATACCTGATCAGTGTTTTGTTAACATTGAACTTAAAAACTCCAGCCAATGCAGTAAGACAAGGAGAAGAAATAAATATTAACATCAAAGAGGAAAGAGTGCCATTATTTGTAAAAGTGTTTGTCTACCTGGAAACTAACCTTAGATAAATATACTCACAAATCAATGAAAAAGATAAACACATCAATAGGAAAATGAGCAATTCACAAAAGAAGGAAGACAGTGGTTAATGAAAACAAAGTAAATATTCCCTGTTCCACCCAGCAAATGACAGATACCTTGGGGAGGGAGAGAAAGCACACTCGCTGGGTACCAACTTACCCACTTAAATTCCAGTGTGTTTTAAAGGCTTTAAAATGCACATACCCTTTGAGCCTGGAACTATTTCTAGAAACTCAACATAAGTATTTAAATAAGAATGATTGTACTTGGGTGGCTGAGATCCTGAGAATGTCTGTTCAAGGCCAGCCCACTTTGTGAAACCCCATCTCATCCAATAGCTGGGTGCAGTGGGGAACACCTGTCATCCCAGCTACAAAAGGAAGGGTAAAATAAGATTGCTGTCCAGACTGGCCTGGGCAAAAGCAAGACTCTTTACCAAACATAACCAGAGCAAAAATGGCTGTGGCCATGACTCAAGCAGCAGAGCACCAGCCTAGCAAGCATAAAGCCCTGAGTTCAAGACCCCAGTACTGACGAAATAAATAAGAATGAAGGCAGAAGGGGATAGAGATGTGCTCAAGGGTATTCATGGTACAACAAAAGATTGACACACTATACACAGTTTATTTAATATACACTCAAAAATATGTGGCTTCAAAAGTGATCTTGAAATGCTCGTTGATAATTTCTGTATTGTTTGCAGTCTATTTTAAGCAGAAAAAAAAAAATTCAAAACAACAGGCAAAGCATTACCGCCTTTGTTGTGTGGATGCACTGTTCCTTCAATGGAGTGGTGTCCCAGGAAAGACACTGTGATTACAGGTATCCTAGATCACAGCGCCCGCCACACCGTAGCCTGCTCAGCATCGGAGCGAACTGCACAGTGCACTGTAGAGCACTGGCAATTTGCCCTCATGACCGTGGGGCTGACTGAGAGCTCGGGGCACCACCACTGCCCAGGGGCACAAGAGAAGAGAGTGCTGCGTATCCCTGGCCCAGGGAAAGAGCCAAGTTCGGCAGCCTGGTTTCTACCAAGTCTGTATGACTTTTGCACCATGGTAAAGTCAGGGTGTCATTTGTTATACCATACAATCTACATCTCTACAAAACTAGTTTTTCTCTAAATGCACAAAATATTGACAGTGGTTATCTCCAAACAAAGAACTATAGTTTTGGGTTTTTTTGTTTTGTTTTACTTTTCCTGTCTGCATCTTAAGGGGGTTTTCAATCTGAGAACATGAAGAAGGGAGGTGAGTGATGAGAGGAGTGACCACAGTGAGTGATTTCCTTGCTTTCTGCGTGAAAGTGTGTTCACAGGGCCAGCAACACAAGGTGGGTCAGGCTTGGCTTCTGGCCCTGACCGTCCTCTGCCGCGGATCCACGGTGCCTGGTCTTAGAAAGATTGCAGTCTCTGCTCTAGCAACCAAGCAATACAAAGACCAGTCTTATAAAACTTGGTCAATCTTAGACCTCAGAAAGAGGGCTATGAAGTTTCCTGGCCCCTCTCCAAAATCGAATCTGAATTTTCTCAAGCTGCTGAATCCCACGATTAATTTACAGAAAATGAGAAGCAGCAGCAGATTTCAAAACGCCATACAGATCCATCACCAGAATCCCACAGCGAGAAGAGAAGCTCTATGGGTCAAAGAACTCAGTTCCTACAGCAAAGAAGTCCCGTGGGAAAAAAGAAAAAAGAAGAAGAAGAAGCTGAGCTGGTGATTCACACCTGCAAACCTAGCTAGCTACTTGGGAGGCTGAGATCAGGAGGACTGCAGTTTGAGGCCAGTCCAGGTATATAGTTCGAGAGACCCCCGTTTCTAACCAGAGCAAAATGGACTGGAGGAGTGGCTCAAGCGGTAATATGCTTTCTTTACAAGTGCAAAGCCTTGAGTTCAAACCCCACTCCTACTAAAAAAAGACAAGGAGAGATTTAATACACATCACATTAACCAACCAAACAAATTATGCTGTTATAATAATGGAATTTAAGAGAGATTTGTGAATTCAGCAGTGACTAAACACTACATGACAGCAGAAAACGGCTATGAATTTCTCAGGTGCTATAATAATTGTGCTTGTATTTCTTCTAAAAGATCCTTGAAGGGACATGCTGAAATACCTACAGGTGACATGATAGCATCCATGGAATTTGCCTTACAGTGATTTTAGGGGAGTGAGGAATGGGATGGAGCTGGCCTCGAGGGTACCTGGTAGGTACATGCAGGTTTATCATTCTGTTTGATTTTCTTTTGTGTTTGTAACATTTCTCCATGGTTAAAAAAAAACTCATTTTTCAAAAGCAAATGGTTTTTCCATCTGCTGGATTTGACTTATAAATTTGCAAATAAGAAAATAGGAGTCTTTGCCAGTGGGGACTGTGAAAATAAAACGTAAGGGCAAGCCAAGAGGAAAGTCAAGAGCAAAACTATTCTTCTCCCCCCTTCTCACTTTCCTGACATTAGGAAATTGAGGTACGAAATTGGGAATGCCATCCTGGGGCCAGACTTCCAGCAGAACCTCATTCCTGTGCTCTGAGCAACTCTCCAGAAGCAGGGTGTGCAGAACCATCACTCTGCTCTGTACCCAGACCTTCCACAGGGAGCAGGAGGGGCCCCCAGGCAGAGCAGCTGCCTGTGCTCAGCTGAGGGCCAGCTCCCACTGAGCCCTCCCTGGGCCTATGAGGTCACACAGCGGGGGAGCAGCAGGCATGGAATCCAAACATCTCCCCACACTCTTCTCCACTTGGATCTCAAACTTGGTCACCCAACAGCATGTGTACCCCGATCTCTCCAGGTGTTGAGGACCTGTGCGCCAGCCCCTGCCGTCATCGAAGTTCTGTTCAACTCCTATGCTCAGCTCTGTGTGTCCGAGTCCTGGAAGGGTGTGATCCCTGAGGAAGTGTTCCAGGTGAGGGGCCGCCTCACCCCCCTTGTGTGCAGAACCCTGTCTCTTCCTGCTTGTTTGTGTGGAGTTCTGCACTGATAGCCAGGTAGTGGGACATCCAGGAAAGAGGAAGGAGCAGGTAACACGGTGTGTTTGCATGTTTCTGTTTTCTTCTAGAGGCTCAGTAACCACACAGCCAAGAGCAGGTGTTGTTCTCAGTGCTTTGTGTCTATGGGTTTTGCATCTGTGGATCCAACCAACCACAGATCAGAAATATTGGGGGTGAACACCTGTAATCCCAGCACTTGGGAGGCTGAGGCAGGAGGATCGAGTTCAAGGCTAGCCTAGGCTACATGATGAGGCCCTGTCTCAAAAAAAAAAGGAGGGGAGAGAAAAATTGCACACACTGTCAGATATATACAGACTTTATTTCTTGTCATTCTCCAAACAATATGGTATAACAAACTATTCATTTAGAAAGCAGTTGGATGGCGTTAGGCATCAGAAGTAATCAGGAACTGATTTGAAGTGAATGGAAGGGGTGTGCAGGTCTCATGCAAACACTAAGCCATTTTGTAGAAAAGATTTGGTATCCTCAGGGGTCCTGGAATCAATCCCCATGGATACCAAGGGACAACTATATGGGTACTGACAGCTGCACAGAGCAAACAGCCAACCCACAATGGCCTGAGAAGTGTCAGGGCTCAGGTACCCAGTGTCCAGGCATCAGGGCCACCTGAATCCACAGGTTCTGGCTCTTTTTTCTGGACACATCAGTCTGCCCTGTGGTGGCTTCATCTTCTGAAAGACAGCTCAAGATATGACCACACAGCAGTGGGCATTACATCCATGCATGACAGAGTCCATGGGTGGCTGTCAATTACAAAGAGGGAGACCATTTCTCTCCAGAAGCCCCAGCTTCCCTGCCTGCTTCATCACCCATATTATGTGCACCTTAAAGAACACAAAGCAGGGCTGTGTGCTGAGTGGCCCAGGTGGGCTCATGAGCCCACCACTGGCCAAAAGGAACAGCTGGCTGCTCACAACAGCTGTGGCTACCCCTGGAGCTACAGGGCTGCTGCAAGGGGCGGGCAGAGGGGATGTAGGAAGCTCCCTGTATTATCTGAAGTCACCTAAAGCCAAGTGTGACCCAGCAGGAGACACACTTTAGAAAAGTATGCCAACCCTTTTGGTAGAGAATGGGTCCTACAAAATGGCACTTCTCTCTGTGGTGTCCCCCACCACCCACACCCCCATCGGTGAGTCACATGAGAACAGCATGCTCTCTCAGTGGTCTGGATAGGAAGGCGCTTGTTGGTTCACGTGCTTCAGCTTCCCACCCCTGCCTTCCTTTGCAGATCCACAAGGCTTTCTACCAGTCTTTCTTCGCCTTGGCCGGCACCCCACGCTCCCTGCAACATCTTTGCCGCTGTGCCATTCGCAAGCTGTTCGGCAAGGGGTGCTTTCTCCTCGTGCCCCTGCTGCCCTTGCCCGCATCCCTGCAGAGTTACCTACTTTTGGAGCCAGAGGGTGTTTTGCACTGAAAACCAGAGCCAAGCTTGTGATGAAGGGTCTCATTCTCACCTTTGTCCCAGTGGAGGCCAAGCATGGAGGAGAGTGTCCTGGTGAGGAGGGGCGCATCTGGACGGGTCTTCCGTCCTCCTGGCTCTCCACATGACCAGCGGAAGTGCAAACTTGTGAGCCTCAGGTTCACCTGGAAATGAAATTGGTAGTAAAAGTCTTTCTGCCTTTCAGGTTTGCTGAAGGCTCAGGTAAGGTCGTGACTGTCATAGTACTTGCTGTCAGAGGTGTCCTCAACAAAAGATACACCAGAAGACATGCTGTGTTCCCAAAGTTTGTCTCCTGTGCCCAGTTGGTTAGCAGTAGGCCATGGACTCTCAGCCTTATAGCAAAGGCTAGGGCCTCCCAGGGCCTGGCCACCTGGAGGGGTTTTGTCCAGAACATGCCAGACCCTCTGCAGAAAGAGGACACCTGCTCCCATGACAGGTGTACCTTTCTAAGATCCATTGGCGCTAAAGCACGCAGCAGCTTGGCACTCCCAGGAGCACACTGGAGGAGGGGTTGGAGCCAGACTTTGGTCCTGCAGGAGTCCTCTCCAAAGGCCTCTTCCAGTCCCAGCTGAACTCCCTCTGGGAATGGCCAGGAAGCCAGCCCCCAGAAATACACACACACAGACAGGTCATTTAGCTCAGCTTGACCACCACACAGCAAGAGAGATGTCCAAACAATAAGGACAGCACTCACCTTGTCTTTTATTTTCTGTCTTAATGTTTCACTGACCCCCAGGGGACAGCCCCTCCCAGAGTTAGCTAGTCCCTAGAGAGAGTAAGCAACTGGCCACAGAGCCTGTTTGTGCTATGCCAATCAGCCAGAGACCACATCCCAGTTGCCTCCTTTCTTAGACTCTCACTTAGGGCCTGATCACTCCAGGGCCAGGTGACACCTAGTGACAGCCCCTCCACCCAGAGCCTGCTGAAACTAACCAACCCTGAGCCTGCTTTCCCTTCTTCCACATTCCCACACACACCTCCTGGCCAACCCTAGTGTTTCCCTGCGTGGCCCCTGTGGCATGGTGAGCCCCCCCTCTTGGGAACAGTGAGTAATAAACTCTGCTTACTGGCACTGGTCTCCCCATCCATTGGCCTTGCAAGATCTGAAATTGTGTGTATGCGGCACTCACGTGTACACTTGGGGATGAACCCCAGGACCTTGCACATGCTAGGCAAGCACTCTGCTAGTGACCTATACCCCAGTCTAATACACTACATCTCAAAGTAAGGACTCTATGGTCATCCTCCAAGAATAGGTGGTGGCTTCTTTCCTTTCCAATCAGAGTCAGAGCAAGAAGCTGCCCATGTGGCCCTCAGAGGGGGTAGGACACATTTCTATTGCCCAGGTTTGGAAAAGTAGTTTAGGTCCCAGCACAAGCTGGGGTGTTCTTTCAGGAGACTGAGGCAGGAGGATGAAAATTCCAGGTCAACCTGAGCAATAGAGCCAGACCTTGTCTTAAAAAAAAAAAAATACTGTGTGTACCATGGGGGAAGCCCACTGTGGAAGTAGAAAATGGGACCAGACAGGGCTTACCCATTGAGGGGACCATCATGACAGAGGTAGCCAGGCTGAGCCTTGGTGGATGGTCACGTTGTACACAGTGGAACTTCAAATGGAGTTGGTAAGACGGCATCTTCCAACTCCTGCC